AGGAAGCAGTAAGGAAAGGAAGGAAAAAAGATGGAGTCAGGTCTTGTATACTCAACATCAACAGTTAAGGCTTTTTTGGTGAATCTAGCGAAATGCTGAAAATTACCTCAGTAAGCTGGTACTTGTCCGAATATTTTGATTGGGATCAGACCGACTGAAACGACTTCCTAGTTTGGTAAGGCCCGTCCGTACTGTATGTGCAACACTCATCAAAGGACTTCTTGGCACTTCGTCTGACCGCCGACTTCGTGTCGAAACAATCACTGCTCTTTTTGTGGCCAAATTTTGTGCCATTTTGTTTTCGATCACCAAAGACCCATCGCTTTCTGCTACTTTTGATGACGAAGCAAGAGTATCCTGAAATATTTCGCATTATTCGCTGCTATTTTCAAGCAGTGGATTCAGAAATCATATGTAATATTCGTAATGCTCAGTAATAGTTTTAAATTTTTTCTTCTTTTTGGAAAAGATGGGTTCCTAAATACAGAATAATTCCATACAGAGAAAACCCTAGAAAAAATTTTTGGCGACAGTTAAAAACTTCCTTCCGAGGACAAGGAAATGGAACCTAGGCAGCAATGTGTGCCACGACCACTGATGCGATCATGAATTTTTGCAGTCCGGAATTTGCCGTATCCCTATGTTTCTGCGTGTGAAAAGTACTATTAGGTTTTCTGTACCTTACAGGATATTCTCAAAAAATTTCAGCTTTTTGCGGCCTAAACACCGAAAGAGTAGGATGACGGTAGCATTGCAGTTTGAATATTTGATGCGTCTGCACGTGAAAACTTTGCGATTTTCAAACTGCAATATCACAGCCACACTCCAACAATGTATGCGATTTCTCTACTGGATGAGATCATGCAAAAACACATGATCGGACCGATAAGACTGATGCATTGCTACCTGGATCATTTCTTTCTCATGAGAGAAGAACTAAGTGGCTCTCGATTAAGAATAGCGATTTCAGCAACAATTTTGAAAATACATGTACCCCGCTTTAGCACTATTAAGATGCCACAGACTAATATCCGTAAAGGCGCAATAAATGCAGAAGTTGCTTCGACCTCTGAAGCTTTGGTTCTGGGTGGTGCGCCAGCTTGTCCAGTATGTCTAATGCGCAAGGGCTGTCGAATGAATCGTGGTGCTGAGCAGCTTTGTTCACTTTGCGATGCCGAATGTCTCTCCGAAACGTTTGTCATGATAGAGTCGTTCGACTTTGATTCGGGAATTGGAGGAATAGAACGATTCAACGGTGGTCGCGCTTTTATGTGTTTTTCTTCGCCATCATCCTCAATTACTGGCCGCAGCGGTGGTACGACGACTAATGTATGTGTGCGAGGATAAGG